GATAATCCCTTTAGATGATGGATAGTTATGTCATATTCCTCGAGTCTCTGTATCTACTTAGCTATTTTACTGTTGTGATTCTTGAAATTTAAAAGCCAGGCCAACAATGCATGATCTGTGCAGAGGAGATTTTTGCCATAGATATGATGATGGAAATGTTCTACAGCTTTAACTGTGGTGAGCAATGTCTTTCCTGGTGACAGAAATTCTTCTCCAGTTTAGATAGACTCTTGCTTCAGTGTACCATGACATGTTCTTGATTGTTTATTTCTTGGAGCAAAAAAAAAACAGGTCCGGTACTCTCATAACTCGCATTCGTATCAAGAATAAATCGTTTTTTGGCATGATGATATGTCAGGATTGTCACAAATTTTAAATCCTCCTTCAGTCTGTTAAATGCATACTCACATTCTTTTGTCCACAAGAAATTTTGCGTGCTGTCTGTCAGCTTATGAAATGTCAGCTTTGAATGAAGCAGTCTTGGGATAAAAGAAAGGTTCTTCACAAATCTCCTATAGTACATGCAAACACCCAGAAAACTTCTTAACTAATAGACATTTTTGGCATGCCTCCAATCTTTTAACCGCTGACACTTAATTTGGATCCATAGACACACCTTCAGCAGAGATTACATGTCCAGGTTTAGTCACTTCCTTTACATTTAGCAAGACTCGAATTTAGATTAGCTTCTTTCAGTTTCTGAAGTATATTTCTAAGATTTTCTAGATGTTCTTCAGAGCTCTTCCCAACAATGATGATGTAATCCAGGTATATCAGACAAGCTATGTAGGAAAGACCTCTCGACACGGTCTCCATAAGGCATTTCAATGTTGCCAGCAGATTACGTAATCCAAACAGCATCACCTTGAACTGTCAAAGTCCTTATAAAAGCCATCTTTCATTAGGATGTATCTCTACCCGCCAATATCCACTCTTTAAATCAAATGTTGAAGACCACTTTCTTCCTGAAAGAGTGTCTAGAATGTTGTCAGGTCTAGGAAGAGGTTAGCTGTTTTTCTTCGTAACCTCATTCAACTGGCGGTAGTCAAAGCAAAATCCAGTTGAACTGTGTTTCTTTCTAATCAGGACGATATTAGAGGCTCATGAACTTCCTGAAGGCTCTACAACATTGCTTTCTCACATATCCTTTAGAAGTTTTTCTACCTACTCCTGTTTAGCATTCGGTAGATGTCTTTGATATTGTTTGATTGGTTGATGATCCCCTGTATGAATTCTGTGTCAAGCTGGTTCAACATGCGTCAGAAGATGAGCAGGAGAAAACATCTTGAAATTCTTGAATGACACTTTCTGCAGCATTTCTCTCTTCATCACTTAGTTGAGCATTCTGCAATAACTCTGATATTAGGGTCTCCAAAGACACAGAATCTGGAAAGTTACTGTTTCATTTAACAAAGGTCGCTGGAATATAAGCTGTAAACACTTCACCCGTCCCCACTTCACCCAAACGCAATGCAAAGCACATCCAAAAGGCGAAGATGTCACAGATATCTCAATACTCCAAAGTCACTGTAAATTAGCAACTCGTAACAAAAACTGATTGACTGATGCTCTGTCTGGTCTTATATAGTTTTCACCTTGCCGGCGAGATTTTTCCAGTTCTTTCTGCTTCTCAAAATTACTGGAAGACATATGAGGGGAAATTGCAGTTACAGTTAGACAAAACATGAATTGCAGTTATTCTATAACAGTATCTATTTACAGTAATATCGGACAAAATAGTTGGCAAGTTTGACTATCTTTTATTATTTCTCACCAAATTCGGCTAAAATTAGTCGCAGAAACAGTTGCCAGTCTGGCAGTATCTTGCCAAATTAGCGAGATACCCGTTTACTCATTGTTAAATACTCTTGCCCTTGTATTCTCATTTTCCTAGTAGAGCATCATTTCCAGCAGCTTTTCATGTTACATTACACAGGAAAATGCAAAAAAATCACTAAAATCATCTGTCTCTACAAAATTTGTAACAATGCACTGCAATTTCTTTTGATTATTTTGTTTAAACACGTATTTGCAGAGTATTTTATTCATTTTCTATTACATGGAATTAAAAAAAAAAAAAAAAAACTTCTGCTTAAGCTTAATTTATATCAATAATTCTCAAACTTTTCATAGATTTTACCCCTTAGTCATGACTTGAAACATACTTCCAAGATGAAATTTCTTTAGTGAAATTTTGAAAGGCATTTGTAACTGTCCTTCAAGCATCTGAGGCTACTTTAATCTGTAGTTAAAAGCAAGTTTAAAACCATTTAAAAATCCAATTTTTATTATCTGTGTTATTAATTTGCCTGTGTTGCTAGTATCTTAATTTTTATCTTTTATGGAGAATCCTTATAATCAGTTAATGATATAAAATAAGAAATGTAATTTTTTATTTTAAAATATTTGCAAAAATTTTTACATGATTTTATTAATTATTCATTCAAAGTAAAGAGCAAAAAATTTAGCTTAATAGAGATTTTTCTGACCAAAATTTTTAATCGTAAACTTCATTTCATAAAGTTTTCATTAATTTATCTACCATAATCTGGATTTGTAAATGGAATGCATAACTATAAACATTCTGTAGAACTTGACTTGTAGTGCTTATTTATGAAATATCTGTACAGTACAAAGTCCGTAATCCGGATGTCCATTATCCGGAATGATCTATAACCTGGACCTCAAAGCCACAAACTTTACGCATGCGCGTAAAGAATGTGCATACATTACACATGTGCGTGTTTAAAGAAATGTTTAATAAAGTAAACAAACAAATATTAAGCTGCTTTTTTTTTTTTTTTTTTTTTTTTTGTAAAATTTGATACCCTTTATAATCATAATTGCTCTTTATTTCATAAATTACGGTTTCATATTTTTAATTGTATAATTTCTGCATGCCATCATACCAGATTTAAATTGATGATCTATAATCCAGAAAAAACCGTAATCCGGAATCGATGAAGTCCCGACGAGTCCGGATTACGGACTTTACTGTACTAGGCTGCAGCAAATGATATTTTTTCAGATGGTTAGCCACATAATGCCTAGAGACATTTACCCAGATAGCACTGAGAATTAAAACAGTATTATAAAAATACATTTAAATTATTATGTGTAATGCTTACAAAACTTTGTTATTTTAAACATAATATTGTCTACCTGAGGTATGTGTTTCACTTGCTTTGCTCTTGTCCCAGCTCTGACTGGAACTACAAACTTTTTTGGCTCTTTTAGTAGGCTTTGTTCTGAACATCTGTAATATATTTATAGATATTTTAATTCTTTTTTTTATTTTATATATATATAATTGAATGTTGGCTGAAATTTCCTTTTAACTCCCAGTTGTGCTAGCTTGAGGAAAACCTGTATTAGTTTAAAAAGATTCTTGAATCATATGTGTTAATTGAAATATAATTTCTCCAAGGGTAGCAGCTGAGTGGTAAGACTTCTGAACATTGGTAGTTTGTTTTGGATTCAAATTCCAGAAAATAAGCTGGCTGAATGAGAATTTGAGGTTTATCTCATGTGTAATCTGAATACGAGCCAGTTTCCCATATAAGGTCTTTCGTAAAGACATTTTTGCCCTTAGTCAGACAGCATTCAAAAAATTCTGGGAGAGGGATGCATTTTTTTCCCTTTGTATTTGAAAAGATACACATTTACTTCTAATTTTATTTGCAGATTCCAATTTTTTTTTTTTTTTCCCAGTAACCCTAGATTTTTAGTTTATCCAATATCTCTTTCATGGTTTTGCGATTTAAATGAATCAAAGTGTATTGGGGTTTATAGTTGATGAAACATTAAACAGATATATAGGTCTGTTTTGGTAGCTGGGAAAAATTTGGCTGAATTAAATCAAAATTATTGTATAAAAATAATATTAAAATATTCATGCTTTGTATTTGACCACCAATTTCACGAGAGTGCCCACCATTAGCTGAGTGGTTCACTGAATACTGGTATTTCCATTCTGGTTTGAATCCAGGCTGGCTGTATAGGCATTTTTGCAGTTTGCACAATATGCAATGTGGCTAAAAGCCAGTTCTTAGAAAGTCCTCCATGAAGGCTTGCCTCTCCCTTAGGCAGGTAGCCTGCATGTGCTTTACCATTATTAAATCTGCCAAACCAACTAGTTTCATTTGATATAATTTTAAGCCTGTTTAATAGAAATTTAGTATTATAACCAATCATGTATGACATTACTGATTTGAAGTTTCAATGCTGTGCTTTAAATCATGAAGCTGTGAAAAAATTTTTGTTGACTTATTTATGTGTGCTTAAATTTCTCAAAAAATATTGAACATATTTTATTTTTATGTTTTTATACATTTTAATTCTTTTCCTTTTATAATGCTCTCCTTTTAAAGAATTAAATAGCTTATCATGTAGTTATTTCTAAAACTTCATAATGGAAGGCTTATTTTGTTGTTTATGAAACTAATAGATTTTAATTTTTTTGTAACATTTGAAAGAGCCAGTTAGCAAAATGAGATCCGTAGATATGACCATGCTTTGGAAATGGTGTGCAAAGAGTTGGAAAAAATTAGATGCAACACTTATCTATTTTCCTTGACTACTTCTCAAAGCGTAAAGCTCTTATCTTCTGCACATCCTTCTGTGTAACTAAGTGTTGTCATTCAGTGATGAATAGAATCTTTAATTTATGTATCAAAGTTAATGTGTTATTGATTAGGCTCAGCAGTTTAAAAGTAATAAATACACTTCTTAATAATTTGAATATTTACTTTTTACTGATTTAATTCATTTATATAAGTTAAAAATATGTTTAGTTTATAATATATCTGCTAATTTGTATTAAACCATTTTTGTTTTAAGTAAAATTTCTAGTGGCATTATATTACATAACACTAGCACAGAATAATTTGTTTTTTTATGATTTAATTTTTTAAATATTAAAAAAAAGTTTGAACATTTAAAGGTAAACTCTTCTTTGAGATACCAGAATGTAACATAAAGTTTTCATATTGCAATTTTAGGCTCCGCATCAAAATCACAAGAAAAAAGCATAACACATAGTAGTGATAGTGATGATGACTCTAAAAAATCAAGTGAGTTATTTTGAAGATATTTTGATGCTCCAGAATCGACAAATTGACTCATATTACGTTAATTTTGTATTGTGCTCTATAAAATCTATGGCAAACATTGCTATTCAGCATATATTATCAGGGTTGCCATGCTACCTGGAAAACCGGAAAAAGTTCTGGAATTCAAAAAATGAACAAAAAAATCTGGAAAAAAGTAAAAATCAGGGGATTTAAATATTTTAGTCAAAATCTGGAAAAGGGAATTTCTTACTGCAATCACCAAAAAAGCGATTTTTGCACCAACATTGGAAGAAATAACTTTCTTTACGAATCATGTATCAGATGAGCATCATTTGGATGGCTAGCGTAGAGCCAATTTTCGCAGCACCAGTCAGATTGTCTTTTAGAAAAGGCCGGGCAAGTTTCCAGCATCTTTGGTTTCCAATAACCTCCGAGAAACCGGAGATTCGCATGAGCATGTGCAGTGCATGTTGAATGAAAGTAAATCCCCTCCCCATTTTCATATAAAACAAAATCTTTTAAACCTTTTCGTTTTTCTTAAATGCCATATTTGTCATTTTGCAGTAAAATAATAATCAATCATCTAGGCTAACCATTTAATATATCTATATTTGCCAAAATTCTGGCCTTGTATAGATTAATGGAATGTGTTAACTGTAACTGTTCACCATCTGCTATTGGAATATATATATATATATATGCATATATATATATTCACAAAAATACCATTGATTTTTGTAATTCAGTTTTTAATCCTTAAGTAAATAACATTATTTTAATGTTATTCGTATCATTGAATGAATCTTCTTCCTTCTAAATTTATTTGTTATTAGTTAATAATACTTTTAAATTTCAGGCAATTTTATCTGGCATACTTTTGAAACTAATTTTAGCAGTAATATGACATAGCATTACGGAATTTAGTGCACATATTTTTTACTTATGTATGCTGCTAAATAAATATAAAATACTTGAATTTATTTGAAAATATTAAATAGATTTCTTTCTCCCATTAGCTGCAAAATGTGTGCAGAAAAGGCATTTTTAAATCCCAATTGGTCAGATTCTAAACTCATTCCTCAGTGGAAAAAACAACTCCTATTATAGTTATAAAAATAATGCTTTGAATATTATATGTATAAAAAGTAATATGTAAATGGCAAATTTTTCTGTTTTCAAAAGGTACCGTAATTAACTTCTCTCAGCGCATCCAACGTGCACTTGCGCGGATAGTCTGCAATTTTCTTGAAACACACCTGAAAAAGTCAGGGAATTTCATTGTCCTGTTTGAGTGGCAACCCTGTTTTATTGTTTTAAAATTGTATCAACCTCATGATCTTAATAGTAAAAAATCATAAGGAGCCTTTCTAAAAAAATTATGTGATATCTTAAATTGGGTTTTGTTTGTCAAGTGCGAGAAAGGAGACTATAATGTTTGAGTTTTTTAAGTTTTTTAAGTTTGAGGTTTTGCATCTGTGCTCTGGAAATAATAAGTTTTGTTTTTGTTTTTATTTGTAATATAATAATTTTAATATCTTGAAAAGTAGAATTAATTTCAATCAGAAATTGTTTAATTTGGAATGTTGTATAACCGTTGTCAATGACTTACTTTCTATGTACAGTCAAAAGTCGTTAATCCGGACTCGTCGGGACTTCGGCGATTTCGGATTATCGATTTTTCCGGATTATAGATCATCAGTTTAAATCTGGTAAGATGGCATGCAGAAATTACAAAATTAAAAATATGAAACCGTAATTTATGAAATAAAGAACAATTATGATCTAAAGGGTATCAAAATTTACAAAAAGAAAAAGCTTAATATTTATTTGTTTACTTTATTAAACATTTCTTTCAATGTAATTCGTTTCATGTGATAATACTTTCTCTTTAATTCTATTAAACAGACATAATTTCTTGTTTAGTTACAAAGTTCCGCTGTTCAAGTCCTATAATTGCTGTGTTGAGAATACCGACTAATTTGTCAATCGAAATGTTTTCGTTTTCAATAACCTGTGGGTCACTTTCTTCACTATCGGAAGCGAAATATAATGAGGAGGAACTTGATTTAAATCATATCAAAGACGGAGTACATCGAGATGAAATACTACACTTAGTAAGGAATTATAAGCCAAATAAAATAAAAACATCTGCCCTGAAGATAAGGATAGTGCTGACAGATCAACTTCCAATCCGTGGCGTGAAATTGATAAACAGATTTCGGATTTCAAAACATACTTTCGCTTTGTAGATACAAATTGCATATTAGTAAATATATATCAGAAATTCTATTTGACATAATCGAAAGTTCAAGCTTACTTTTATGAAATTTCTCTAACAGTCCACAAAAAATAATAAGGCGGATCCAATTCGAAAATTAAGGAACAACGCAATCTGCAACATTAACTGAATTAAATAATTTATAATTGCTCAGATTATACTGTTCGTTACACATTAAACGCGCATGCGCAAAAACATATTCGCAGCCGTAAAGGTCTTACGCGCACTCGTTAACACCTGTGCACATGCGTGAACGCGACACATGCGCAGAAAGTTTGCAGCTTAGAGGTCCGGATTATGGGTGTCCAAATTAACGACTTTTGACTGTATTATTTTTTTATATTAAATCAGAGGATTGTGTGAAAAAGTACTGTGGAAGTCCAACAAATATTTTTATATCTGATTCAGTGATTAATAGTACACTTTTTCTAAAAATCAATTTAAATTTGAATATATTCCCATTCAGATTTTTGCATTTTGGAATTGCTATTATTATTATTTTATGCTTGCTGTCAATTAATTCTGAATAAAAAATATTTACTCACCAAATGATTTTCAATAATTTTAATCGATGCCTTCACTTTTTGAATTCTAAAACAAGGTTTAGAAGTATTTCATAGGCAGCAGTTAATTCTTTCCCCCTTCTCCCAGTTTTTTAATTATGTTTTAGTTAACTCCTAAAGAAAGTATTTGTGTTATTCGGTTGAAATGTATATTTAGCATTTTCTTGTAATTAATATCAGGTTAAAGTTTTAAATATTACTAGATGTTAAAGTTCAAAAGACATGCATATTTATATATATATATTTAATATAGAATGAAGTAGTATTAGATCTTTGCCCTGGCTTTAGATTTATTTATAATGATGAGACTTCCTAAAGTAATTAGAAGCTACTGTAAAAGATCAGAAGTGGCAGCTCATCTATAAATTAAATGCATTCTAAAAGAAGTGAGGATATTTAAATTTAAAACTATGTTAGAATTCTTTTGAATTTTTGCGTAAGTAGATGGTGATTATGGTATGGCAAGGCATATATCGTAGATAAATAAAGTGAGTGGGAGCACAAATTAAAATATAATAAATTTAAGGTACTGTGGCATATTTTTGCAACAACCAAGAAAGTTGGTGGGGATCCTGCATCATTGATTCTGGTGGAACAGGGTTCATAACGGTCCTTAAGAGTCCTTAAAATGTCCTTAAGTTTTTTAATCGATTTTTGGTCCTTAAAAGTCCTTAATTTTGGCCAAAATCGCAGAAGGTCCTTAATTTTAATCATCAGAAATGTCTATCTGTTTTTACGACTGCCATTTTGAGTATGAATTATCATTTTGGAGAAATATATTTGGCGATTTATATATATATATATTCACTGACATATATGGTTATCTTTTGAATGGGTTCAGGAGTTATATAATTTGTTCCTATTTCTAATATAAATGGTGGAGTACTGAAGTTTCTAAGCAAGAAGTGAAACATAAGCATTTCAAAATTAATTTTTTCTAATGAAGAGCTCTTGTACAACTTTTTGCTTTTATTAAACGGTTCTGAATTTGGCGACTTATCAACATTTTGCCGATTTTAAGATCAGTTTCTATAGAAAGTTTTTAAATCCGAGATCTGGGAATTTTTCGACAGTTGTTTTTAAAACATTGTAACGTTGATAAATTTCATTAAAATAATGGTAATATATTGAAATTATATTTAAAAAATAACATTAAACTAAAAAATTTTTATTTTTCACTGTCGTATTATAAAGTTTCATTTTGGCAACTTATTATACAATATTTTGAGTCTGAAAAATGAACAAGGTATAATGTATAGAAAATGTATGTATAAAGCACAATTACGAAACAGTTCTTAGCAAAAGTGAAATTAGCTATGTAATTAATTAAAAATGTCTTCTTTTTAATTTTTCATAGTAAGAGATTTTCCCATGTAAATCGTATCAGAATATTCAGAATTCCCAGAATAGGCATTAATTTTCTCTATAAAATTATTTTTAGACTTCTTCCCTCTTCCTCCCCAAATATTTCTGGCTTTTTGCTGTTACAGAATTGGTAGGGGTAATTTTTCTTTAGAAATTTAGACATTGTAGCTTGGAAAGTTTCAAAGAATTTGAAGGCAAGATTTATAGATGCATGATTCTAGAAGATTCCAGAGATGTGTGACAAAACAAAAAATGTCTTCATGCTAATAACACATAATAGATGTATTTTACAGAAAGTTTGCAATGAATTTCTTACTTTTTGGAAAACGTCTGGGAGAGCAATGAAAACATAATATTCGAATATTTTACTTCTGATACTAGATAGAATCTTTTCCTTAACATGTTTATCTTCCCTTTATTTTCTCTTACTTTTCACTAAACACAAGTATGGAAAAGATCAGAAATGCTTATAATCTTATAACATGGGCAGGTGTCATAGAAAGAAATTTTTTTATTAGATAATTAAAAAAAATATCTAATATGATCTAATATGTCATAATGCATCATACACCGAGCTGGCACTAAGCATTTTCTCTCCTGATGCAATCAATCTCAGTGCATCCTTTCTGCTGCCTAGTGCTTTTCTAAATTCTGCTTCCAATGTCTGCTCTAAATTCTAAAAGTTTTGCCATTTCTATCCAGATTTTGTTGCTCGGTGTGCTGATAAATTCTAAAAATTCTGCCACACCAGCTCTGTAACCGGCCCTTACCATATATATTTCATATTTCTTCTG